CCAGGAGTAGTGCGGCGCATGGCTTTTCGGCCCATCGGGGGCGAACGCGTACGCACCCACCGCGGAGGAGTGTCGCCTGAAGGGCGTCCAGACATGGAGTGAGTCCTGACCTCACGGCTCGTTCTCCGTGGCCGCACGGCTCGTTCTCCGAGGATGCATCGGGCGATTGGAGCCTCCAGGGTCCCAAAGCCGTGCCAGGTTCCCGACGCCGTGCGGACCGTGCGGTGAGGTCACGGAGGGTTCGGGGTCACCGAGTCACCGCACGGTGTGTCACCGCACCGCTTTTGGACGCCCAAGCTCCAGTTCGGAGCCTTACCTCCTGCTCTCGGGCGACGCTCGGAGTCCAGGTGGAGCAAGTCTAGTGAGAGCCATTTGGGGCTGCATCGGTTGGGCCTTCAGCGGCTCGACCTCTGCCATTCCCTGGCGACGCCAAGTCCGGTTGCAGTAGCATGCCTAGTCGGAGCCAAGGGGCTCCACGTGTTGAACCCCCCCGCGCGCGCTGCCGCACCCGCGGTCGCGGAGGGAAGGGGGAGAAGGGAGAAGTAGAGGGGGGGGCCCATTAGGGGGGGGGGTCAAAACACATCAAAGGGATAACACATGAATACAGCCGTAATATGGCATAGTGATTGATTGTTTTGCCATGCCAGGTTGCTGATCCATACCTGCAAGCAGAGGAGGAAGACGAATAATGGGAAGGAGTGGAAGGATTGGACGGAGGCGCTTTGGATGCAGGGACGGGCGTGGACACGGTAGTAAACCTCCCACGCGCATTGGCACGTGGCCGTTGGTTGCCGGTTTCTTTGCGACATTTCCCAGCTTTTGTGGCGGATGTTATTAGGTTTGTCCAGGCCGGTGCGGCAGCGTGGTTGACCTGTCTTAAGTGGTTTCGTTGTCTGGCGTGGTGCCATTGTGTTAACAATGTGTAGGGTTTGTTCGTAGCGTGTTGCACGGGATCGTCATGCTGTTAGGTGTTTCTTGGTCTTGTCGTGGTTGTGCGGAGTTGTTGTTTTGATTGCGTGGTGTCGTGGTGCTGTCTGTGGTCACAGACAAGCGGTCACTGGGGGAGCTGTGGTCCTTACCTCCCTGGGGTACCCATCAGATCCAAGATTTGTTTTCTTGGTGCCCACGCTCTCGCGATGAGCGCGACCAGCGCGTCGGCCATATCGCCGGGCGTTGCGTGCGCAGCAAGGGGGACTTTTTGAATAGGGTCAGCACGCGTGTTGTTGGACGCGGCCCCCACAAAGTAACAGACATTGCCTGCGCAGCTGCGTTGCGCACACCGCGCCAAATGAGCGCGCCCGCAGCGCAGGTGCGATTACATATCATCGGCGCGCGAGTGCCAGTGTCAGACGGCAGTTCGCTCGCGATTCCGAAAGGCGCGGGCGATCACCCGAATTTATGTTCCATCGGCATCGCAATATCAGTTCGCCATGCGCGCTAGTCCGCGCAAAGCCGCCCCGTTTCGTAGCGCCTGGTAGCGGAGCGCCGCCGCTAGGTCCGTCAGGTCCCGCAGCCGCGGAGTTAGAACCGCGTTCCGCGGGAGTTTTAACACGGAATTTGACAGATCATCGGGAAATCGTTCTCGCTCATTCCATGCCCGCGAAGTTCGCGCGCGCGCATTCCCGATCGGTGACTTGCGCATTGGCCAAGGCAATACCTGATGAATCGGTGCCTCCGTGTTGCGTGGAGGCGTGCTCGAAGGGTTGCTGGCGCGCTCAGGGACAGCGTTGAACGCGCTGTGGGCGTAGGAAATTGGTGCGGTCGCTGGTGTCGAAACGGTGGGTGATCCCCTGGTCTGGTTCTCCACCATCGGGTCTCCCGTCGGCCAGGGGTCTCCGTGGATGACGGCCAGAAGGTGGTGTCGAGTTGGCCGTCAAACGGCATGGGGAAATGGGGACGCCCCGGCCCGTTGCCATCAGACGGCAGGCGTTGGTATAGGACACGGCCCGGTCAGCGGCGTCGGGGCTTCCAGGCCCCTGCAGGACAGGGTGCCGCCAAGGGAGGGGGCGGCAATTCGGGGGCTGGCGCGGGCTCCAGAGGACTGCAACAATATCCGTGCAGGCGTGTTGCAAGCACCGCCGCGGTAGCCTTACCTAGTAGCGTTCTTTTTGAGCGATGCTGTCCCCAGGCTTCGCGACAGGGCCGCAGAGGCGAAACCTTTTTCCTGGGCCTTCTGACGTACCCAGAAGTGCCTATGAGTGTTCATCTGGGGGACGGAAAAAGCTTACTTAGTAGTGTTCCTCTAGCGGTCGTGAAGGCTTACCTAGTAGTGTTCCCTTAGTGGAGGACAGGAACTCTCATTTTGGAGGCCCATTGGGGGGGGCCACAAGCCACTTTGACGGGCAAGAAAGGGTGCGGATGAGCGCCCCCCCTGGCTCCCCCATTTTCGTTTGTTTTCGCTGCGGAGGACCAGCGCACCCTGCGGCCCCACGAGGGCGTGTCCGGCATGCCCGTACCTCCTCTTCTTTGTCCGTCCGTTCCTCTTCATTTCTTTTGCCTCCTTCGGCCCCCGCCCTCTGTTGCCTCGAGCATCCTTCTCGCCACCTGCTCCGACGTCCGTTCCCTTATCCCTCTTCTCCTTGCTCTGCATTATCCTTGTCGTCGTTTCCCGCGCGGTCAGGATCGGAAGGGAGGATCCGTAGCGCTTCGCGCAGTCTTTCCGGTTCATTGCAATGGTCTCGCGCCGACGGCTGGCTGCCGGCGGCCATCCCCGCCCTTTGATTTTTCGAGGGCCCCCGCATTTCGATTGAAATCGTATCACATGTAGTTCAAGTGCTGTCGGGGTGGCGCCCGGTGGACCTGGTTTGTTTTGATCGTTGTTGCGAGGCGCGGGTCTGTAGGCATCTACTTCCCAGGTTTCCGATCCGGCGATGTTTATCGTCGCGCGTTACATGAAGTTGCCATATGGTAGGCGATTGCGTTGTTTCAGTCCCTACTGCCCCCAATGCCTGCGCGCCGTTCTCGTGGAAACGCTCGGTCGTCTCAGCCAGGGGTGCAGGATGCATGTTGTGCCGTTTTCTTGACACCGGGCGTTATGGGTCTCGCGCTCTCGTTTGTTTGTCGTTGCTATTGTGCTTGCGGCGTTAGCTTGCCACGGATAGTCCTGTGCCAGATCGAATGGGGTTTCTGGTCTTGTCCAGCCAACAGTCTCGCGCCTATTTTCGGGCTGAGTTCAAGGCCGCCATTGCTACCCCACAGCGTCATAACAATGCGAAGTCTCAGGCGCATTTGCTCGAAAGCACATACAACATCAATATTATCTAAGAGGGAGCCCCTAGTTCCCCCAAGACCCGTGCTCCCCCAGAAGTGGTTGGTCGGAGCTGTTCTTGCGTGGTGTCGTTTTGTTGCGTTGTGTCGTTTTGCTGCGTGGTGCAGTTGTTTTGCATGGTGTCGGTTTGGTGCGCCGTGTTGTTTTGGTGTGTGGCGTGGTCCCTGTGTGTTTGCTTGGGCGTCCGCGCTCAGTCTGAGCGCCCGCCGCATTTCACTGGCACGCCCTCTCCCGCTGCTCCTGTCCAACCTCGTCCACATTCCCGCCCGCCCTCCTCGTCTCATTCCTCCCTTTCCTCGTTGTTTCCGCCGTCCGTGCCTCCTGCTCGCTACCATCGTCGTCCTCCTGCTGTGCCCTCCCTGTGCGCTCGTCGCGCGGTGTCTTCCAGACTCGTCGCGCACTCCCACCGGCCCATCCAGAACCAGTGCCCAGGAAAGTCCATCCAGAGCCGGTGCCCAGGGAAGTCGTGCCACGGGGCAGAAATTTGGCAGGGGAGCACGCCGTCAGAACAGTTTTGCTAGCGTCCGAATGCCCTGGGGTACCGTCCTCATCAATGCGTTGGGGAGCCGTCAGATACTTGGGCGTGGTATTCCCACGCGTCTGGAGGTCCACTACCGGTCCAGTCGCCACAACGCCCCTTATGGACTTATGGAGGATCCTCCCGGCTGTCCCCGCGTGGTCAGATCCCCTTTTGTCCGTCTCCCCGCAAGCTCCTCCTTCCCGCATGCTCCCCGCCTGGGCCGCCCAGTTGCCCTTTTCCACCTCGTCCTTTTCGCTCCTGGCGTCCCGTCTGGTGGATAAGCGCTCGGTCCGGTTCGATTGCTCTGGGCCGACGCAGGTTGGCGATCTTCCTGGCGCGGTCTCGCTCGTCCCACCCAACAGTCGTTCGGGCAAGACGACCTGCGTCCAAGGTAACACTCGGGGGAGCGGTCGAGAGAAAACGAGGAGGGGGTGGAGAGACAGGAAACGGGGGGAGGCATGGACATAAGGATCGGCAAAGGAAGGCATGGGGGGGAGGAGGAGGAGGAGGAGGAGGAGGAGGAGGAGGAGGAGGAGGAGGAGGAGGCGGAGGAGGAGGAGGAGCAGGAGGAGCAGGAGGAGCAGGAGGAGCAGGAGGAGCAGGAGGAGGCTCGATAACGTTGGTATGGTGATGTCTGCATGAGGGGGAGGCGGGCCGCCCTTGTAGAACGATTGGGATGGCCGCGCGTCCGCTTCATTTGCTCGAATCCGCTCTTGCATGCGTGCGTCTATGGGGGCGCCGCCTTTGGGCGGTACTGTTCCCGGCGCGCGGCAAGACTCCACGAACTCAGGGATGGTTTGTATTGGTGTTCGCGTCCTGGCATTCGGAATTGGTTCGCGTCCACCATACAGCCTTTTTATTGTTCTCGCTGGTTCATATCGCTGCCTTGCGGCTAGTAGCCGGATCTGCTCAAGCCAGAGGTTGAGACGGCTTTTTGGGGCCAGTGGTTCAGACAGGTAAGGCGCCGGCTGTGCGCCAATCCCTTTGCAACCATTCATTCGATTTTTCACACAGCCCCCCTCTTGTTCAACCCCTTGGAGACACCCGGGGAGCGCCCGATGACGACGACGACGACTACGACGACGACGACGACGGCGGAACACGACGACGACAGTAAACGACGACGGAAAATGACGACGACAGAAAAGGACGACGACGACGGAAAACGACGACGACGACGACGATGGAGGACGAGGGGAAGTGGGGAGCCGCCGGCGACGCTGCCCCAGGCCGCCTTGGACGAGGGGCGGCTCCTGCTGCTCTGGCTGCACCAGGACCCCGCGGCCGCCGTCGCCGTCCTCGCAGACATGTTTCCTTGCGGCCGAGTGGCGTCAGTGCACGCGGGCCGCCGAGAAGGCGCGAAGTTGTTCGCGATTCGCGATTCCTCGTCCTCTTGTTCCTCAGTCTCCTCTTCTCACGCGGGCCGCCGCGAGGGCGCGAAGTTGCTCGCGATTCGCGATTCCTCGTCCTCGAGTTCTTTAGCCTCCTCTCCTCCTTGGGTGGGCGACGCGAGGGCGCGAAGTTGTTCGCGTTTCGCGGTTCGTGAAGCGCGAACATAATTGCTCTTGACTACAGCGAGAGCCAAACGGGGCGCGCCCGAGCGTTAGTGCCACCAGACGTTGCAGTTGGTGGACTGCGCTTGGCAGGTCGGCGTGTCAAGGTGGGCAGGCGAAGCCGGCGCATGCAGGACGTGCAGGAAAAGATATGCGCCGCCGAAGCCGTTCTTCCAGACATCTGACGATACGTCTTTCCAACGCTCAACCCCAGAGGTCCCGACCCCTGGCCCCGGGGCCCGTTCTTCAGCCTGCCCCATTGTTGATGGCCCCGCGGGTTCGACACAGGCCTCGGAAGCCGAAGTCTGCGGAAGACGTTCGAGTGTGTTCGAGGACATCGTCGGAGGTCTGGGCTCGCCGTCGCCGTCCCGGGGTCGAGCACCCAAGGGGTCGATGATGCCAAGGGCCGGCGATTTCTGTGGGCTCCTGGCTCTTTTTGGTGCCCGCTGGGGCCTCCGACCTCCAGGGGCCGTCGGGGGCCCCGCCGGTAGCCGTCGTCGTGGCCGTCGTCGTCGTCGTAGTCGTCGTCGTCTTGTCGTCGTCGTTGTCGTCGTCGTCGTTTTCCGTCGTCGTCGTCGTCGTCGTGGTCGTCGTCGTCGTTTTTCGTCGTCGTCGTCGTCGTTCGTCGTCGTCGTGGTAGTGGTCGTCGTCGTCGTTCTCTGTCGTCGTCGTCGTCGTCGTCGTGGTCTCTCTCTCTTTCTCTCTCTCTCTCTCTTTTTCTCATCGTCCTCCCTTGTCCTTCTTCCCTCTCCTCCCCTCCTCCTCCTCCTCCACCCCGTGGGTTCTGCCAGGAACGTCGGCGGATAGTGGGATAAGCTCACCTCCCACACCGCCTTGCTTCTCGGCGGCTTTCGGGATGCGCCCCTTTCCCGATCCGCCGCGCTCGTGGGGCTCTCTGCCTAGGCATGTCAGCAGGGTCTCGCTGCGCCTGCTGACATAGAAGCCATTCAACTCTTTCTTTTTGGGTTGCGGAGTCCCTCACTCCGCCTGGTCAAGAGCACTGCAGCCAGAGCCCCCTGGCAAACAAATCCCCCTCTCGTCGTCGGCCGTCGTCGTCATCGTGGTCCTCCTCGTCCTCCTCACACTCCTCCCTTCTCCAGCCCCCCTCCCTCCTGTCCTTCCTTCCCTTTCTCCTCGTTCCATGCCTTCTCCCTCCTCCCTTCTCCCTCCCCCTCCTCTCCTCTCCCCCCCCCTCCCCCGCCCCCCCTCGCGTTCATTTCCGTCCGCCGCTTGCCGCCGCCAGCAGGAGGAGTCCCCTGCCACCGAGAGGCTCTGCAGGTCGCCCGGAGGGCGCCGCGCGTCAGTGGCGGCGTCGGCCTCTCTTGGGGGGGCATGCGTCGGACGTTTTCTGATACTCTCCTGTGTGCTCCAGGGCTTTCGAGGTCCAGGGCGGTTTCCATCAGCTGCGCCTCGTCGAGAGCGTTCCGAGGACGCCAGAATCGTCCCGAACGGCCGCCAGAGGGCCAAATCATGATGTGAAATCCACGAGGTTGGGGGGGATGAGATGCATCGACGACCAATCGCCCATTGACCGCCGATGCGGGCCCGATAGCCCCGCCCTGCCGAGGAACGTGCGGATTCGCTATCGGGGGCCTGTCGACAGTCCATCGCCAGTGTTCAACGGATTCCAGCTCGATGTTTCCCGCCTGAGCCAATTCCCCCTGACATTCCTCCTCAGCCTCAAGGCTTAAGACTACCCACCCACACGTGCCACATCACTCTACTGTCACGTATCTCCGATGCTGTTGGGGCGCCAGCACACGTGCAGCTCCTGGAGTGAACCCAAGTTTCTATCATGCTGCAAGACTTTCGCAGGGACCAGTGCGCTGGACCAGTGCGCTGTGGGCGGACAGCTGGAGGGCCAGTTCATCTGTAAGCGTTCTGACATTCAGGGCTCACGCAAAATGCCAGATCTCGAGATCAGGTGCCCAGTGGGCCATCCGCACCTGCACCTGCAGGGCCAGGCGCGCGCAGGCGCACCCCGAAGGCGTGCTCAGGGGGCTCGACTGCAGCTGAAGGGGGGATATAACTACACTCCCTCATTTGAAGCTGGTCTGTCGAGGGACGATGACATTGCGAGCGCCTTCAACGAGCTGTAGACGATCGCGGGTACCCAGGGACTAGAAACGCAGCGGGACCTCATCATGACCACATGGCTGAACCAACACCCAGTCCTCGGGGCGAGGGAGTGCATGGCTTTGGCGGCAGTCGGACCCCTTCGCTTATACCACCGACGACGACGGCTACGAACCTTGCCCGTAAGACTTTGACGGCGATGGCGGCCATGACCGAAAAACTCGGGACGATGGTTGACGTCTTGCAGCAGCACTTCACCGGAGATCCATCCGGAGGCAGTTTTTTGCATCATGGATGTTTCCCTTCTGGCTTCTCGCCTGCCCAGCTTTGGCTGAAGGTGCGCCGGAGGGCCCCGAGGAACCGGTGGATTTGTCAAAGGCGGGCTCGACGACAAGCCGTGGCAGCACGAGAAGAATTCGAAGGACAACGCCGCGTGGCAGGGAGCTACGCAGCGACGACGGCAGCACCAACGACAGACGAACGAGTTGCTGGGCGTCTGCGACGTGGACTCGGCGACCAGGGGGCTCGATCAACAAGGATTCTTTCACTTACTTCCTCGCGCCCACGGTCCGCCCTGACGACGCCGCCACTTCGAGGGGGGCGTCCACGCAGACCCCCAAGCAGGACAAAAAGCCGCCAGAGCCAGATCCACCTACCGAAGGCCACCCGTGGCCGATTCCCCGGAAACCACCGTTGCTTTGCGCAGTGCTGCTCAGATCCAAAGCCGAATCGGCGAGGGCATGCTGGCGCTTTTTGGCCAAGGTGAACGATGACCACGCCAGCCTTCCGAGAGGGCTCGTCTTCTGGCTGCACAGCGACCGGGGGACTGAATTCGTCAACCAGGAGTTGCACGAGTACTGCGCGTTTCACGGCACCAGCAAAACCACGACGCAGGGCTACGACCCGAACGCCAACGCGACAGCCGATCCGAGGTCGCTGTTGGGACCTTTGAGCGTCGAGCGAGGTACCTTCTCAGTGGGGCGCGGCTGCACGCGAACTGGTGGGAAGTGGCCGCCTTGGCAGCTGCTCGACTCTGTCTCGCGGGCGCTGGCCTCGAGGACTATCCGCAGATTCCATTTGGGGCGCGGGTCATGGTGGTAAGAGACCCACCACCGAAGAGCCGGTGACCGTGTTCGGCCCATGGGGCTGGCCCCCAAAGCCATGTGGATTTACCAATAGGGCACGGTGAAGGCGCGCTCCAACTTGCAGCCGCAGAGAATGCAGCAGGAGGACCTCCAGAAGGCCAAGTTCAATATTCAGAACTGGGACCCACCAACCGCCCCGCTGGCTCTCCCAGAGCCCGCGCTGTACGACGCAACCAGCTGGAACTCCGTCGTTGCCCCTTGGCGGCGCGGCCACGCGGGAAACCGCGCGTTGCTCGGCGCGCGTGGCGATTCGCTACAAGCGCCGCAAACTTGGGCACCGCGCCTAAGTCTGGGGGGTTTGCCCACGCGCTCTTCCGCCACCATAGGCAGCTGACGCTATCCCACAGATCGCTTCCGCATACGAGCCCCCAGAACCGCAGCCCCAGCAGCCAGAGCCAGTAGGCATTGCGGCTCACGAGGACGAGCCGCCCATCGCTTCGAAGGCCACCGCCAAGTCCATGGTGCACCCGGGCGCGTGCAAGGCGACGTCGGACGCGGCCACCTGGGGGAACCGCAGGGGATCTCAGAGGTCGGCGAGACCGACTTGCCGTCGGAAGCCGCGTTCGAGATAGACACGGAGCTCGAGACGGACGACGACTGGGCGGTGGGCGGCCACGAGGCGTCGATGGGCGACGACGTGGAGGTCGAGGGCGACGCGAAGCAGGGGGGCCAGGCGCGGGCGGACAGCGACGAGGAACTGGAGGAGAATCTACCAGCGTTGCGGGAGTCGCCCAAGACCGATGTAGAGAAGCGCAGGCGCCACCAGTGGCACGAGTGGTCTTCCGCGTCTGCGACGTCGCGGCCGCGGTCAAGCCTGCGTCTGAGTGCCGCGTCGACACGCTGAACAAGAAGGCGACGCAGCAGCTGATCAACGCAGACCCAGAGCAGAAGATCGCGCCGGCACAGCAGGTCGCGAATAGCGTCGGGGCCGAACAGATGAACTGGACGCCCGCGGCGCAGGCGGAGCTGACCGGCAACTTCCTCGGCGTGGGGCCTTCCGCGAGACGAATCCGGACGAGCTTCGCGTGCGCGGGCGGCCGCTGCCGACGGCGCGCGCGCGGTCCAATAGCGACGACAAGCGCAGTTGCCGAGCCTGCTCGCGCGGCACGTGCGCAGAGCCAGACCCGAAGTTGCAGTCCTGGACTGCCCGGGCAGAGCCGTCATCGTTGCTCGCCGCGCTGAAGCTCGGAGCGACGCGCGGCCGGGGCGCGAGCAAGCAAGCCGTCAGAGGTGCCTTGCTGAACGCGCCCAGGCCGCAGGACAAGCGCGTCGCGGTTGCCCCCCTGGTTCAGTTCGCGCGCTGGGGACTGGCGGAGGCGGGCGTCAATTGGACCTTGGACAAGGCGGCGCATGGTTTACGCGAGGCACCGAACCTCTGGGCAGGGAAACGGGGCGCGCGACTACGACAACCTCGATGGGCTGATCCCGACGCGGCCAGCGGATCGAGATGCCACTTGGGGCAGCGCACGGTGGATTCGCAGCTGTGGTACCTCAAGGGCCAGACGGGCCCGCCGAGAAACGCGCGAGGGTTTTTGGTCGTGCGCGTGGGCTACCTGCTCTACATCACCAACATGAATCCGACGCGTGCCTCGTTTGCAAAGGCACCAGGATCGTTGCGGAAGCTTGCCGAGGAAGCGGTCCTGGTCGAGTCTACACCGCTCACCCACGTTCTTCGGCAGTGTGCTAAGACAGAGAAGGAGCGGTGACATCAACATGTACCAGGAGCGCTACACCTTGAGCTTGCTGGCCAAGTACGGGATGGATGATTGCAGCCCGATCAAGTGCATCACAGTGGGTCCAGTGCCAGATACCATGGACGAGCCTTCCGCCGACGTGTTTGGGATCTTCAGGCCTACAGCGGCGAGTTCAACGCTGGCGACCCTGGCGCGGCCGGACTTGTCCAGTTACCGGTCGTTTTTTTTGTTTTCGCTTTGTCGTCGTCAAGATTCGCGGCGTGGAGTCTAGTGTTGGCGCGTTTGGTTATGAGGCACCCGCGAGGGGCGACGTCCAAGGGCATCCTGACCACGCGAGCGGCGACGAGAGGGGCCTCGACGTCTGGACGGACGCTGGCTTCGCGGGCGAAGACACCCACTTGCAGAGCGGCCTCGTGGTGTTGTGGGGTGGCAGCATCATCAGCTGGCGCTCCTGGCGGTTGACCGTTTCGGCGCTGTCAACAGCGGAAGGTGGGTTGATTTCAGCGCCGCTCGAATGGCCAATCGTGGAGGGATTGCGCGCGCTCGTCGGCCACTTGCGGACGACGGAGCTTGAGGTGGTCACCGTCCTCATCGATAACAGGGCATCATTGATGATCGCGAAGTGGGGGTTCAACTGGCGGGCCAGATACTTCGCGGTGCGGGGCCACAGACACCGCGAGGAGCATTTGAAGAAAATGACGAACATGGTGCATTGCCCTGCTGCCGGCATGGCCGCCGACGCCCTCGCCAAATTGGCGGTGGCACCCAGCATCGACGTGCAGTACAGGGCCATGGATGGCATCGGCTCAGCCGACCCAGGTTCCGACGCCGCGGGCCTTAAGCGATCCAGGGCCGCAGAACTCATGGGGCGAGGCCGGTGATGGCCCTCAGCCGGCGCTCATGGGGGCGCGCTTGGAGGAGGGGCCAGCTGACGAGGAGCTCATCAAACATAGGCCAGAATCGTCGGGAGGGTTCTCTTCCGAGCGGGCCACTGCGCTGGACACGGTGCACCTCCAGACGGTCATCAAGCCGAGCGCGGACTCTTTGGCAGGGGGGGGGCGCTCTTCCGCCTGCGATTCCCCGACCATCCGAGAGGTCATCAGCTCTTGGGGCGCAGATCCACATATCCCAACGGAGGAGGACATGGCGCGGTCTCCATCGCCACCGCCATAGGCAGAATGGTCACCAAAAAGCGCAGCGAACGAGACTGGGGCCGCCGTGGCCGACTTCGAGGCGGCCAATGGGGAGGAATTGATCCCCGGGCTGGAGGGAGCCATGATTGTGCATAGTATACAAGCTTCTCTTGCTGGGACGCGCTCAACGCCCAAACGCCCCTTGCCCCAGGCAGTTTCTCCCGAGGAGGAGCTCCCGACTGCAGAAGAAGGCAGCAGCTTCCCAAAAGAAGCAGCGACGCGGCAAGCCGCGCTGCCGCCCAGGCGCCAATGAGAGACGATGGGCCAAGCTTGAGTCACAGTTGGCTGCCTCTCAAACAGGGGAGGGGGGCACGTGAATCAAACAATTTTCAAAGTTTAGTCGTTTGTTGTCTCTATTCCTCTCTTTCTCTCTCTCTCTCTCTCTCTTCGATTTGTCGGCCGTCCCTGTTTGGTGTTGGTGAGAGTTCGGGTCAAGAGCCGAGATAATGCCCAGCAGTCTTCGCATTCAGTTTTAATCCCGTCATCTCGTGGTGTGTGCGTGCATGCTTGCGTGGGCCTCGGCAAGCTGTCCGCTGGCGGTCCGCGTTCGCCTCGCGTAAAGTTTTGCTTCCGCCAGCGGCCGTCTGAACCCGAGGCAGTGCCCCGAAGTTCCTTTAACTGTTTTAACGCCGTCCTTTCGTGAAAATTCAGCCTTGTGGGGCGGAGATCAGCGACGCGGTTGCACGCGAAAGGTTGTTTACTGTTTCCATTATACACTTTGGGGGTTGGTCGGGAGGGCATCCTTACGACCTTCGGGAGGGCCGCCTTCCGTGCCCCAGGGGCGGACGGATATTTCATGTTTTGTGTCTAGTACGTATCCGTGTTTTTTCTCCACTTCCACTAGAAACTGAACACAAGAAACAAGATCCCGAAGGGATCATCCGATCTGCCCGTGCGACAGCAGCTGCAGCTGCCGGTGCGAATGAGGAATTGCCCGTGGGAGTGGAGCGGCCCGTGCGACAATTCCTGCACGTTTTGGCGCGTGCAAGTAGCATCCGACACCATTGCACCCGCTTGGCAATGGCTATGGTTCCTTATGGGGCCGGGGGAATCGGCCCCCCCGCGGCCATTGCCCCCATTCTCACCCCCACAGCCCCTCCCCCGGACCCCTCCCTGGAAGGCTTCGCCCCAACTCAACGTACATCGCTAGTACCTTGCTCGTTCCGTCACTTGCTTGGCATTGGGACGGAAAGCGCGGGCTCTTCTGTGAGAGCGCGAGGTCGTTGGCTAGTGTCTTGGAGCCCTGCTGGTGTGATGCCTTTGGTACGACATATTAAAAGCCAACAAATTGGCCTGACGAAGATCACTTACTGGTGCATTTCCAGGACTTCCTTGGGGTCCTGTTGGGGCTGTTTTCTTTCGGCCGTCTTGGGGCTTTCCCCGGCCGTCCTGGACCCTCTTGGGCCGTCTTGGAGGGTTTGGGCTGTCTTGGGGCTCTCTTGGGGCGCTCTCGAGGACCTCCTGAGGCCTCCCGTGGCCCTCCTGCGGCTCTCTTTGGAACCTTTCGTGACCCTCTGGGATTCGTCTGGCCGTCTTTGAGTTTCGTTCGGTCGTCTTGGAGTCCTTGTGGGCCCGTCGTCGGATTTGGGTAGGGGGTTGGGGCCTTTCCCCCCGCGGCGGGTGGTCCTCTGAAGTCCCCGCAGGGATAGGTCCCCTTCGGCGGAGGGGAGGTGAGAGTGTGCAGGCAGCAGTGCTCGTGTGTCCACGGGCCCCCTGGTTGCAGCGGCAACCACCGCCGCGTATCGGAGAGGTTGCGCCACGGGCCAGCCGCGACGAGTGGCGCTACGTCGGGCCCGACGACACAGAGGCAGAGCACGATTTTGTGTAGTTGGCACGAGTACGAGCGGACGCATGTCATGAACGCGTTGGGCCTCCCATGTGCTTCTGTGTGCGCAGTGCAGTACAGTTCCAGGAGTAGGACCAGGACGAGTAGCAAAAAAAACATTGCAGGCATTGGGTGGAGGGGTGAGGTGAGGTTGTGGAGTGGTGGTCTGGACTTGCACGTGCTGCCGCGCTGTCGATCTCGAGGCCGCTGTGGCAGCAGGGGAGGAGCACGGGGCCACGGGAAACCTCCAGAGGTTCGAACTAGGAGGCCGAAGACACCCGGAGGCCCTCGGGTTTCGAGGATCGAGTAGGGCCAGGGCGGCGCCTGGTGGCCGTTCCCGTCGAGCTCGGCCGCGCAGGAAAGCGGCATCGGGCGAGGGCCGCGGCGCACCCCGCGCGCGCGAACTCGAGCGGAACGCGCGCGGCGCGCGCGCGCGGCGACCTCTCTCGGCTCCCGCACCCGGACGGGCCGGCAGAGCGGGAGCGCACGGCGCCCCGGGCAGGGAAGTGCTGCAGAACGGCCCGGTGGTGCGCACGATCCGGCGGAGCGGGCCCCCCCTCCCTCCTCTCGGGGAAGCGTCGGCGGCGAGCGATGAGGCGAAACGAGGAGGAAAAGACCTTCTCAGAAGGTGGCGGGACTTCTCCGAGACTCTCGCGCCTCATGAGATTTTTTTTGCATATTCGGGGAAGGCTCAGAAAGATTTTCAGAAGGCCAGGAAATTTCCGAGCCCTTTGAAAAGACCCGCCCCTGCTCACTTTCCCCCCTGGCGCGCCGCCTAAAACTTACGACTCGCGTGCGCCGGAACTTTAAATCCACTGCCCCTGTGTTGTGAGGCAGTTGTATAGGAGGGGGTACAGAGGACAGACTGTCTACACAGTTTGGAGGAGTTAGTGAATTCAGTATGGGTCGGGCTTGAAGTGCCTCGAAGACAGCGCGCGCACTCGAATCGCAACAGATGGCTATATGCGGACCGAGGACAGTTTGCTTCCCGTCGTCGTCCTCGCCCTTGCTCCGTCCCCTTCCTCTCTTCCCCCCCCCCGGATGCTGTCGAAAGCGTCCGCGGCTCGGGCGGGAGAGCGCCCCGCTTCCACCTTCCCCATCATTCTTCGTTCCTCATTGCCCTCGGCTCCACCGTCCGTTGTCCAACCTCGTCTCCTCTCCTTGCTCGAAGAAAGGAAGTGAAGTCCCTGGTGCCGCGTGCCCCTATCAGCGGTATACTGACGAACCAACAACACACACCCATACCCATAGAGGGGTCGGAGAGGGCTATGGGTGCGTGTTGCGGGATGGGGGTTCCCGCTCGAACGGGAGCGTTCCCCAGTGTCCGACAACCCGCACCCATACCCATAGCCAGTCTTCTTCCCAACGACCCCCCTATGGGTATGGGTGTGTGTTGGTCGTTCGTCATATACCGCCCTTTCGATACCCGAGCACAGAGGCGCAACCAAACAGAAGGGATTGCCAATGCGAGTGTTCGGGGTTCACTCCAAACGCGGGCGGCGCGGCCGCCGAACACAGTCGCACCGCTAACGTGCAAATGTATAGGTGCCTGCGGCAAGGTCCGCCCATTTGCCAGGACAGCGGCCTGTATGGCGACGCGTGGAGCTTTGAGAGTTACAACGTCCATGACATGTGACACCTTTCTTGTTTTCGGATTGCTGCGCGGCCTTGTTTGGTGTCGTTCGGGGCCTTTTTGGGACGTATTCGGGCCGTTGGGGGCCGTTTCGGTGCCGCATTTCACCGTGGCCGCCCTGGATCGGGGAAGCGTTTATTTGCAGCTCCCTCGAGGGCGCCCTGAGCCGGGGAAGTGTGTATTTGCATTCCCCCGCGGTGGGCATGTCGCTTTCGGTTCTGGGTTGGGAAAGTCTTGGTGCCTTCGACGTGGCGAGCGTTTACCTTTGCGGACGAAAAAGCACATATCAAGGTGTGATCTGTGTACGCAATTGGTGTATTCAACTATGTATTTTTCGTGTGTGGGTCCACTGTTTGCACAGATCGTGGTTGATCTGTGTGTATTGTTCCCATTTGTGTATTTGGAATGTGCTCCTGGCGGGTGGTGTTGACTGGGCGGGAATTTCACGTTTTTCTTTTGGTTGGTCCAGGGGGGGGGCGTCATCCGCGGTCGAAATGCACAGTTCGTGTCTCAAACTGTGCATATGTTGCGCGCCGCTCGCTGGGTGGGAGGTTCCGGATTTTCCGGCTGGTCCAGGAGTGGCCGTGGTCTGGGAGTGCAATGGCGCGGGGAGGGGGATGGTGGGCTATGGGAGGGAAAGAGTTCGATAGGACGTGTGGCGAAGTGGCCGAGGATGAAAGGGACAGGACGAGGGGGAAGGAAATGGGCCCAAAAAGAATTGCATCGTCGGTGTCAGCATCACGAGGACGAGGGAGGCGGGGCGGGGGGGGTCAGAAGTTGGGGGATGATCTGCAGTAGGGCGTAGATGATGGGAGGAGTGCAGGCATGTGGACGATGGTGCAACTCATCCGGAGGAGGAGGACGACGAGGAACGACATGAATTGGCATATGGGGGGTTTGCAGTGTGGATGAGGGGCATGATGAGGAGTGGGGGTGGTCGGGCGGGCCAGAGACGGTTGGGCCGATGGATGGGGCATGAGGATGAGGCGGGCGCCAGCTAGCGCTTAGCTGAACAATGTTATGCGTATCCGCGCAACCATCCAACATACATTGATTGGTGGCATAATTTCATGGTATGGGTAGTCGTGCGCGGCGCGCTTGCAGGCCAAAGGCTCGAGTCCACGACTCTCTTCGGCGTCGCGTTGATGCCGGCCCGCTATGCCGAGCCGCATATGCACAAATAAGCAGAATCTGCGTTTCAACGTTTGTGTTTCTATAATAAGAGACCCACGTTGGAATCCAAGCCGGACCTCGGGTTTGCCGACGTTTTTTGACGAGCGCGTCCTGTATTTTGACGGTCCGGTTTTCGTGGGATGTTTGCAGCGGGAGTTCGCGTCGAGTTTCAGATTGGGTCCCGTCGTGCTCACGATGGCCCTGCCAGGCCAAACCGAGTCTCCCCAACCTGAGTCTTCCGTTTTTTTGATTCTTCTTCCCGAGGAAGAGGGAACACCAACATAGAGCATCAACATGCGTTTCTGGAGGTCCGCGCGGATTTCGCGGGTCGGCGCAGGGCCCCCCGCTCCTGGGCGGCGCCCCCGGCGCAGCCTCTGGCGCGATCCGTGTGCCAGGGAGGGGGGGGGCAGAACCGATCCCCAGGAACCCGCCGCGCAGACCTTCGGAAGTTCATGCGCATGTGGTTGCGTTTTTTTTTTTTTTGCGCTGGCCGATCTCTCCACCTTCGCCCATGCATCGCCGATGGGCGCCCGATAGCCCGCCCCCCCCAGGCACGTTTGGATCTTGATCCGTGGCCTATCGCCGATCCACCGGCGTCGATATTCAACATGGATCCCCTGGGGACAGGACCCATACTGCCCCCCTCGATGTAGCAATGGCGTTATTCGCCTTTTTCGTGCTTTCTCAGGATCCGAGATCCCCGTCCAAGTTCCAAAAGTAACCCCAGAGCTCCGGCACACCTTGGCATGGATCCCCAGGAAGCACCGGCACACTTTTTGGCCTGGCGGCCGTAGTATGCAGGGTGTGCGAGGCGAGTCGGGATTTGTTTCCGTTGATTTCACAGCATCAACCAGCCGAGTGGGAACAACACGCCGTATCCAGTGAACGGGTCGAGAAATCGGGGGAACCACGTATCGAAAAACACACACCGTCGGAGATCTTGGGATTTGTCGATTTGTCGTGAAACTTGTCATCGTCGTCTTCATCGCTTTGTTTGCCCGAAAGTGTCTTGCGTTCGCTGTCCACCCTGAGTTTTTTTAGGCCACGCGGCCTCCGCGCATCACTTCTGAGATGCGAGTTGCCAGGAGTAGTCAACGCAGGGGCCGGCGTCGAAAGGGTGCCCCTCTGTGATTCGTTTGTGCTTCAAGCCTTGGTTGCCGAAGGGGCTCGTGTCCTCGAGGCCAGAGGTGCGGTCCTCCGCCTGGTGCGCGGATACGCAGGGAGAGGCGGAGATGCATCGCCTGCTCTGCAGGACATCTTTTGAACTGCTCTCGTGGCGGGGGCCGAGCTCTAGCGGTGCCAAGGCGAGCGTTAGCCCGTTGCCGCCGCCGGACGTTGAGAGGTCCGTTCCTTCGCCCGAGGCGCGACTGGAAGTCTCCGGAGGCGCCCAGGAGGTCTCCAGAAAGAGCTCGAGACACAGCCGAAAACCTGCGACGTGAGCGGTCCCCTGATTTCTGACGTCGCGAAAAGGTCAGATTGACAAATCACGTCCTGAGCCCTAAACTAAACCTTTTTGCGGCTTCTCTCCAGCTGGATCGATCTGCGAGTGCCCCGAGGGGCTCGAAACCATGCGGAAGTGCCCAGCGTGAAACATTGCGACGCAAGGATCTCAGTATTGAGGCAAGGGCGGAGGCGGAGGTGGAAATTGGAGGTTCGAGGGCGGAGGCGGGTGCGGAGGCGGCGGGGGCGGAGGCGGAGCAGGCGGAGGAGGAGCAGGAGGCGGCGTAGGCCAGCGGGCTCTGCGCCGCGTCTGTCCTGGCCCTAGCCGCGCGGAGAGGACGTACACGCTGTGGGCTGGCGACGTGAACAGATTCGAGCCGTCCCAGATCTCCAGGCGGCGCCGCCGCCGTCGCCAATCGTCGAGAGTCGAGCTTCGAGGACTGGTGTTTGTGGACGTTTTCGGTAAAGAGGTCCGAGCTCGAGAATCGAGCTTCGAGGATCGAGGGCTGGTGTTCGACGTGGAGAAACGAGGTTCGAGGCCCGAACTGTCACTTCGGAGGCATCCGTGGACCTCCGCGCACCGCCGCCCCCGAGCTCTCGACCGCTCTCATTACCTGCACCGTCGTCACAACAGCTGGATCCTGGTCGGGGTGCTCCTCTTCCTGGACGCAGCGCTCGCGGACTCGTTGTTGGCCGGGCCACGTCGTCGCCACAAGGTCGTGCCCGGCAGCAGGGCTGCGGGGGTGTTGATTTCCAGTTGGTTTTTGGTAAAGGGCAATTATGGAAAAAAACTCACGGGGCTGGACGAATCATTGTGCATCACAGGATGGGGCCATCTGTGGGATCAAGGTCCTCTAGTACATCCCAGGCGGATGATTGAAAAGGACTCGCCGCGATGGGAATGGCTTGGTGGGATGGATCGGATACCAGATATGGCGCAAGCGCATCCAGCTTTCCTCTCCCTCTCTCCGTCCCTTCCCCCCCCCCCCCCCGCGTTGCTTCCATACCTTCCATCATTGTCGCAAAAAAGCATGCACATGAGCACACATGGACTTTCGGAGGTTCGCACGGAATCCTTGGATCGGTGATGAAACCCCTCCTTGGCGCGCGAACCAAGCCAGGGCACGCCCGGCGCGGAACTTTGAACGTTCTTGGCCCGTGCCGTTTTTTGTGCCTCCATTCTTCACGCCTGCTGCTCTCCTCCCCTGCCCCCCCCCCGCACTTCCAGCCCCCCCAGGATCTCAAGGACTGTCTAATATGAGGCTATTCGGCCTCCTGCGTAACTACCCGGTCCTCCCCCGCCAGGGCGACGTTTTTGCGCGTCGACGCGCGACGTCTCTGCGCGTCGATGTCCGTCCTTTCCCCCTGCACCTCGTCACGGCATCGCTCCCGGGGCGTCTGGGCCCGGGCGCCGCGCGGAGGCTCCTGGACGTCACAGTCTTCCCAGCGCTGGTGGTGTGCCACCCGGTGCGGAGCGCCTACGGCGACGTCTCTGGGCGCGCCCCCCCCCGCGCGCCCTCGCCGCCACGTGGCGCGCACGGCTGGACGTCCGGGGTGGCGTGGAGGAGCGCGGGGCTTCGGGGCACCGCCCCTGGCCTGAGGGGGGCAGGCTCATGGCCTTTTCGCGAGGCACCCTCGTCCTCGGAGATTCCCAGGCTGCCCTCGGAACGTTCTCGGCAGCTGCGCCTCGCCGGGCGCGGTCCGCGGGTGCCAGAATCGTTCCGAACGGCCGATGGAGGCCGGCATGGTGAAATTCACAATCTTGATTGAACCATCTATATGTAATATGTTTAATAATCCGGAACTACCACCCACCCACCCACCCACCCTGGTTTTATCGGCACCCCTTGTTTAGTGCAATTTACATGTGTTTCTGCCCCGTCGCTCGTTCTGAGATGAACTCATACCATCCCTGGCAGGCGGTTATCCCCCCCCATCATTGTCAAATAATATGGTGCGCTCACATTTGTTTATCATCGATCACCAGTTTCAAGAGTCCTTTGCAACGAATGGGACAACGTCGACACGCGCGCGTCGTCGCGCGCGCATGCCCCAATCTTTTAAGCACCATGGGTGTTGTAGGGATTTCAAGGTCGAGGTTCCCGAACACCTACTAACAGTGTTGTTGTTGCCACGCTGCTGCTCACACACACACACACGTGCTTACATAGTTGTGTGTATCTGCATGCGTACATACACACATACATACATACATACATACATACATACATACATCCACACATACACACATACATACATACATATATACACACATACATACACGTATACATACATACATACATACATACATGCATACATACATACATGCACAACCACACACATACATACAAACATACATACATACAGACATACATACATCCACACATACATACATACATACATACATACACACGCACATACATACATACATACATACATGCACAAATACACACATACATACATACATGCATACATCCATACATACATACATACATACATACACACACCCATACATACATACATACATACATACATACATACACACATACATACATACATACATACATACATACATACATGCACAAATACACACATACACATACATACATACATACATACATACATACATATATACATACATACAGACATACAGACAGACATACATACATACAAACATACATACATACATACATGCATCCACACATACATACATACATACATACATACATACATACATACCTACATGCATGCATACATACATACATACATACATGCACAAATGCACACATACATACATACATACATACATACATACATACATACATACATACATACATACATACGGAGTTCGACAGGGTTTCCCCCTATCGCCATATTTGTTTTTGGTAGCCATGACTGTAATGTTCCACGACGTTCACCAGTCAGTGGATAATCTCATAGCGGGCCACAGTCCACAGGGAGCGAATTTCGATGAAATCTTCTACGCAGACGACACGATCGTTGTCTCTAGGGACACCAGGGCAATAAACAGGCTTCTGGCTGCAATCGAGCACGAAGGAGCCCGATATGGAATGAAGTTCAACAAGGGGAAGTGTGAGGTTGTCGCAGCACACGGACATCCTAACATACATTTTGTTGATGGCGCGAGTGTTAAACGGATGGACGAGGTAAAATACTTGGGATTCCGCTTGAACGAAAAATGCGACAGCACGCGGGAGGTACAAGCTAGAATTGGAGTATGCATGGCAACGCCCAAGAAAATGGATTTATTCTGGAGACACAGCAGTTGCCCCGCCAAATTCAAATTGCAAGTGCAAGACGCAGTCATCAAATCGAAGCTACTGTATGGCCTCGAATCAGCCCAGCTCACTCAGGGCACATTGAATCGATTCGACGCCTTTCAGTTCAAAGGACTCAGAAAAATTCTGAAACTGCAAACAACATATGTCAATAAAGCCAACACGAATGAAAAAGTGTACGAAGCGGCCGAAAATGCGTTTCGACAGGGAGGGCGAGAACAGAGACCGATCGTCAAGTTCAGTGCAGCGTACGCCAGGAACAAACTGGTACTCTACCAAGCCATCGATCGAGCTGAACCCAACCACCCGGCGAATGGGACTACTTTCGGTCCTGTCACACTGCAACCCACACAGTGGACACGCCGGAGGGTAGGCCGTCCCCGGCTAAATTGGGCGGAGCCGACAACAGCAGAATATTGGAAAGTTATCCGGAGCTCGCTGCCGGCCGCCAGCTCTCCGCTTCGCAGTGGTCGATACCACGAATTCCCTTCACACGCAAGCTATCCGTAATGCCGCCCAGAGACAGCTTATTACTTGGTCGTCGTCTTCACCCCGTTGTCGTTGGTCCTTTCTCCCCCCTTTGCCTCCCCCCTCCCTCCCCCCCTCTCCTTCCCTGTCTTTGGTTCTTTCTCCCCCCTTTGCCTCCCCCCTCCCTCCCCCCCTCTCCTTCCCCCCCTCGCCAAGTAGGTGTTCGAAGGGAAACAACGATACGCTCATCAGCACTCTCCGCCACGCATGTGCCGTGGCAGCTGCACCGTTGGGCGCGGAAGCGCGGCGTTCGCGCAGCGCACCAGCAAAAACACATACATACATACATACATACATACATACATACATACATACATACATACATACATACATACATACATACATACATACACACACATACATACATGAGTGCATGCATGCATGCATGCATGCATGCATACATACATACACAAGATGTTACCGGCTCGCTACGCTTCGCCGTTACAATCTTGTTCGCATGGCGCCAGCGAGGTGCGCTGCGGGCGCCACGGGTCCTGGAAGGTCTCCCGAAGGGTCTAGGGCGCGCGAGGTTTGTATTGTTCATGAGGATCATATGGTCACACGTCTCATGGAGTTTCAACGGCATACGGGGCTCATCGGCTTCAACAGGAACGAACAGCTCCTTGGGGCTCATGTTTCATGAGGCCGGGGCTGGAGTTGGGCTCGAGCTGGATCTGGGGCTTGATCTGGATCTAGAGCTGGAACTGGACCTGGGAACTCCTGCAAGTTCTGCTACAGCTTCTCATCCTCCTCCTCCTCCTCCTCCTCCCCTGCCTCCTCCTGTCGGAGAACACGAAACGCTGAACGGTTGGATCGGGAAAGGAGTTCTGGCAACACGGACAGCATGATTACCCATGCAGAGCTTTCGAATAGCAGCGCAGGTGACCCATGGGACCTGGTGGACTTGTGGGACCTGCGGGTTTACCGGACTTGCGGCACCTGTGGGACCCATAGGACATGCGCCACTTGTGGGAATTGCGGGACATTCGACACCTGTAGTAGGACCCGTGGGATTTGTGGGAGTTGTGATATGTATGGTATTTGCGATACTTGCGATTTTTTGGGGACTTATGGAACGCGCGGGACTTGTAGGACCCGTGAGACTTGTTGTGCCTGTGGAGCCCGCGAGACGTGCGACATTTGTGGGACCTGTGCGACTTTGGGACATGCGAGACTGTGGCATTTGTTGGTCTTGCAAGACCTGTAAACTTGTGTCGTCGGTTGGCCCAGACAGGAGGCCCTTTTGCAAACATATTCGACTGCGGAAAATACCAAAAGCATAGTTTTCATGAGTACACGAAAATTGCCAACACTATGCGCAGACAAGTATATGTGTTGTGCGCACAATTGTTGTATACATTAGTTGGTGTGTCTCTCGCATTGGAGGGGCGTGCCACTTATCTTTCGCGAGCCGAGAGCTATTTGGCATGCCGCTCCAATGCACTTTTGTTTGTATACGGATGTTGCGCCGCCGCCGATTGGCTTGCAGGGCAGGTCCAGGTTGGCCCCGGAAACGCGTCGACGCCGGCCCTCCTCGCGGGGGCCCCTGCCAAAGAGCTCCAGAAGGGCCAGAAGGGAAGCTCGAGAGGCCACCCGCCAAAGGGATCCATCCTCCCGGGGCCCTCTCCTCTCGGGGGCCTTCCCGAAGCCCTCCAGAAATTTGGAATGGGCCCCCAGACGGCCCGATAGGGTTCCCTCTGGGTTCAGAGACCTTGGCTGCGTTTGCGCCTTCTCGGGGCTTGGGCGTGTCGCGGGGGGCCCGGGAGGCGTCCCAGAAGGACCCAAGAAGGGCCCAGGAGAGTCCAAAGAAGGGCTCCCGATTGTGGCACCTAGAGGGCCCTCTTGGGTGCCACTGGGGGGGTTCTCCTCCTTGGGCCCTCTTGGGCCGCTCCTTGGGCCTCTTGGAGCCTCGTTGAACTCTCTGGGGGCTCATTCGGGGCTTCGGGGGGGCTTCGGCGGAGCCCCAAGAAAAAGGGCCCAAGAGGCCCAGGAAGATTCCAAGAAGGCTCCAAGAGCGCTCCAAGAGGGCCCCCCAAAGAGGCGCAAAGTATGTGCACGAGTGTGCCTCTTTTTGCGGGCCTCTGGGCGCAATCTTTGGTCCTTTTCGGGCCTTTTTTGGGGGCCTCTTGAGCCGTCCAGGGGCTTGTTTGGAATTCTTGCGGGGCTTGGGGAAGGCCCCGAGAGGGGCCCTGCAGGGCCCAGGGAGGATGAGGCCCGTTGGCTTTGTTTCGAGCTAGTGTTGCGCGGATCTAGAAGTGATTTTCCGGCTCCTCTCAGGCCGTCTCGGGGGGGGTGGGGGGGGGGGCGACGTGCGGGGTGGGTGGGGGGGCGGCGTGGCGCGGATGAGTGAGCGTTGTCTTTGTGGGCGGCGGTAGGCACGGTTGTCCTGAAGGGCCCCGCGATCATTTGGCAGGGACCAGGCGCGATCGGCGCCCCGATGAGGGCCGACAACGAAGAGGAGCGGGCGCGCGCCGAGCACAATCAGGCGTGCCCGGAGACGCCCTTAATTTAATTGTATGTTTTGGTTTCTTGTTGGCATTATTGTTGTATTTCGGGATCTCGGAATCGCGTTTTATAAAGTTCATTTTTCACATACATATATATAGAGAGAGAGAGAGAGATAAACTAGTTTCTGCATTTCGCAACACAGTGATAATAGTACGTTATTG